ATCCAACAGTTTATTCTTATCTAGATTATGTCTCCTAGTAGCTAGACTCAAAGCTACAGGCTTAATAAACCAAACACATTATACTTGAACTGAAATCACTAATCTATTAATTTAAAGATACTGAAGATCAAAATTTATATCCAGAGAAAATATGCTACAAAGTTAGTTTGCTGGGAGAAGACACTCCATTACTAGCATTAAACCTGTCTTCTGTTCATGTTTAGGGCATTTTCTTAGCACCTAAGTTTCATGTATCAAATTCAACCTTCATATAAATTTGTTGGGCTTATTCTATAGCCACAGGCTAATGCAGTAGACATCCTATTAACTGAAAGTTGTGGAAAACTGAAGATGTCTATCTATAAATTCCACCCCTGAATAATTCAGAAAACAAGCCCTTAGGGTAATGAGTAACATGAAATAGGACTACACTATGAAATACCTTCCTTCCTAGGTAGTCTCATTTAACTCTAGAATATTGATTATGAACTGTATGTAGACCTAAATTACAAATGGAAAATTTAATCCTTTCTCTTAGCTTCAAAATCCATCCAACTATAGCACTAACACAGATCCATTTGAATGCTAACTTGTCATCTCAAAGCAATTTTAAATTTTCTCCCCACACCTGTTTCCTACTCCCCACAATCTGTGTTCCCATCTCCCTAAATGTCCCTACTAGACACAAATTACTCAGCTACTCCCTCAAGATCCTCTATGCTATGCCTCCTAGAGGCTTTAGGATGTACCAGACTTAGAGGATCATCTACAAGAACTATTTTACCTAAATTAACCCTTTCAACAACTGCCCAGGTAAACTCTAGCTGACTGCACAGAAAAACATCCATCCCCTTTTTACAGATGAGGACACTGAGACTGAGAACTTGCCCCAGGCGGCAGAACTCCTAACAGGGACATGCAGAATTCCAGGCCAAGGCTGTCTGACTCCAGAGCTGCCAGGCCATTCTGCCTCCAAAACATGCCTGCAGTCCAAATGCTGCACTCCATCTCCCCTGCCCCCTTACTGCCCACCTGAGACAGTTGTTTCCTCGCTTCCATTCAGAACCACCCTGAAACTCATTCTTCTCTTAAACCCTTCTCGCCACTCCAGTCACAAGGCCTTCCAGTTTCTCTGCAATCGCTGTGCTTAGAGCCAACGTTCACGACGGTTATCAGCTCAAAGGTCTACCGTGCGAGAAGCCCTTCCCTGCCACCCAACCGAAAGTAGCTCTCCCTGAACGCTTTAATTCCTCTTCTCATCAAAACGTGCAGCCGTTTTCCACACAGTCGCTGCAAACGACCGCAGCCTTTGGGAAGGAAAACTGCGGCCGCCTACCTCGCTCACAGCTCTGCCAGTGTCTGCAGGACGGGATGCAGTGTCTGTGACGTGCGTGAACCAAAGAAAGGAGGACCCCAGGCCCGTGTGGCGTCACGGTGGCGGGGCGACTCCCCACCCACTCCTTCACCCCCTTTCACTCAGCTGTGAGGGGGACAGCGGAGCTCGGCAACAGGAAGGAAACTGCCCGACGAAATACTGGGGTGCACAGGGCGGCGCGGGGCGGCACCAAGCGCGGTGAGCAGCGCACACCACCCGACCCCGCGACCCGCGGCCGGCGCTCCCCTTCCCCCACCCGCCGCCGCCCGCACTCCGAAACAAAGCCCGCGGCGGAGCCCCACGCCGCCCCAAAGGGCCGCGAGGACGTCTTCCCCTACCCGTCTAGTCTTCCTAGGTCCAGAGATCACCGGCCTCTTAGGACCGAGTGTCGCTCGGGCCTTTCCCTCAGACCACCGGCAAGCGCAGCGCAAATCGCACGAACGCCGCGAAATGGCTCCGACGGCGGCGCCAGGGGGCGGGGCTAGTGAGCGTGCGCCTGCGCACAAGTCGAGTTTGGGCCGAGGACGCACCGAGGGAGAGGCAGGGCTGCGCAGTCTTCCTGCTCCCGGCGTCCGGTCGCCTGGGAGATCGGCGGCGCCTGCCTGCCCTCTCTCGGTCTCGTGGCTTCCCCGAGTGCACTGCTTACTTTCCAACAGTTTTGAAAGTGGAAGACACGAAGTGTTTTGATATACCAAACATTTTGCAGCTTCTGCATAGGGACCTCCAGGGAGATGAGGAGCCCTTAGAAAGACAGAACCGGAAATTGTGATGCTAACCGCAATAATGTTTTAGAGATAATTATATGGAGTGGCAGTTGTTAGTGCAGCTCCTGGCACATAATAGGTATTCAATAATTGTTAAGGCAGTAATTCAGTTATCTAATTCGAACATCCCCCAAAGGAGAAATAAGCTTAATGAAGGCAGGAGCCCTGCTGGCTAGATCTTAGATTACAGTACTTGGCACAACGTAAAAGCCAGTAAATCCTGGTTTAGTAAGGAATAAAGCTTGCAAGGTTGTTTGGTTTTGTTTTGGCTTAAATTATACCTCCTCTCTACTTACTCTGGTAGTTGCTTATCCTTTTATCCTCAGAGTCCTTAGAATAATTTGTATCCTTAGGAATTATAGTAATTTTTTTTTTTTTTAATGTCAGTGCTTCCCAAGATGGCAGCAATAGAAACTATTTCAAGTTGGGGGTGTTCATGGCTCTTCAGCTATCCAAACCCATGATATGGCCATCTTTTTTCATCTCTCTAGTTTTTAAAAAATTAAGATAACATTGTTTTACAACACTGTACATGATTTGGAGCCTCCCTGGTGGCCCAGGGGTTAAGTCTCAGGGTTGTCACCACTATCGCCTGAGTTTGATCCTCAGCTGGTCTGCTACCCTTTAGTGGTATCTATTTCAATAGATCCACCTGTTCTACTCCCCACACTGTCACTGCTAAATCCTCTCACCCCCTGTACCTCTGGCCTATACCCCAGTTCCTCTGTAAAAAACTTATTTGGAAGTATAGGATCCCTGCCTTCAGGTGTTGTTACCATCTTTGTTTTTTCTTGCCTCTTGTGGTACCCAAATGATGAGCTCCAGGAGCTTGCCACAATTCGAAGAGGCTTACATAGTGGTTATGATGTCATCTTTTTGAGCCCGGGTCCTTGGGTTGACTCTGGGAAAGGTTTCACTAGAGCTCCCCTTTCAGAGGCATGCGCTGAGGCAGAGACTCAATTATATTTAAAGAGTAAGTTTATTAGAGACAGGAGAGAAAAAGACATTTGCAATAGACACAAGCGGGCAGAAAGAGCTGCTCCAAATGGGACAGGTTTGCAGGGAAGGAGACCTACATGGTTTCAGGCAGTCAGTCTTAGGAAAGCAGCCTCCCCTGAGGGAGGTCAATGAAGAGAAGTCCCGGCATAGTACAGGTCATGAGCAGCTGCCCTGCAGAAGGAGAGAGCGGGTGGAAAGAAGCACCTGCACATAGTTGTGAGTGGGCCTCAGTTCCTTCCTCACTGTTTGCCAGGGGCTTCATATTCTCACCATATCATGGCAGCTTGCTTGAGAGAGAAAGGAAGGGGGCTGGAGGTGTAGAAGGAGACAGGTCAGAGCTTAGAACAAAACAGTGAATCAAAGCGTCTTCTAAAGTGACCTCCAGATTGACCTACCATCCCCTTGTATATGCTAATAGTCAAAAAGATCAACCTTAGTCTAATGTAGGGTGGGACTACACAGTGACACAGTGAGGTGAAGATCACTGTTGGCCACCTTAGAAGTTTTCTACCCAAATAATGAAAGAATTAGGATTGACACCTAAGAACCAAAGCCTGTAGGATATGATATAGAAGTCCTCCAAGTATTTAGATATCTTGTTCTAAGGCTCAAAAGAAAGCTTGGACAGAGAGGCTTAGGAGCTGTCAACACATGAATGGTGCTTGAATTCACTGCAGAAGGCTGTCCAGTAAGAGTGTATAGAGTGAACTAACAGAATCTAGGCATGACCAGCATTTGGAGTTCATGCAGAGGAAGTAACATATACAGTAATATAGATGGAAGAAATTATGTAGAAGTCTGAGATGGGGTTAATGAGAGTACTTGGAGCAGAGCTGTGTTCATAGGACCTCCAAAGTGTTCGAATATGATAGTGCTCAGAGCACTTGTTTCTGGAGTCTCATCCTTGGAGGAGGTGAGGAGGCTCAGAGGTAAAAAGCAAATGTCTCCTACTGGTGGAGAAAGGAATGTAGGGAAGGCATCACAAGACTGAGTCACACAATGAGGATGGGTAGAAGAAACTAGTGCAGCAACTGACACAGCCATAACATCAAGGTCAACCTGTGCCCAGGATGGCCCCCCACCCCCACCCATGCTTGAATATCTGCTGTGTCTGAAGCTCAAATCCAAAAGGTGAAAGATAAGGACTTGGAGATGAAGGTCATCAGAAATCTCTTCAGATTCTATTCAAAGTCAACCAACCTAGGCTCACAGGGAGTGAGCCCCTCCCAGGGAGAGGCTGTCTACATTAGGGCAGTCTCTCCACCAGCTCAAGGTAGCCACTCCTCTGCCTACCTTAAACTGTGGACTCTAATGCTATCTCAGGGTACACAGTCAGAACTAAGTTGAATCTTGAATGCTCGGTCGGTGCCTCTGAGTTGTTTATTTGTGTGGTGAAGCATACACACACACACACACAGAGCCTCATCTCAGGAACACCCCAAAATTATCCTTTAAGGATAAAATATACCAAACTACTCCCATAGGACCTTTAATTATGGTGAGTCTTCAATTAATTCAACATTACAGGGGAAAAAACAAACTGTTAATGTGACAATCTGAAAACAGATGTTCTAGAGTTAGGCTGAACACCCAAATGTCAACAGTTGTATAGAATTGAGCCATGTTCTAACTTGCATTAAAGTGAGTGTGCCTGCCCAAATGCAGGAGGTGAGAGTTGTCTTAGGTTGCAAATGAATATTTATTAAAATGAAAAGTATATTATATAGTGATTTAAAATCAGAAAAATTAAATAGGATTAATAACTGGAAATCAAGACAATAGGAAAGGCAAATAAAATGAATAAATTACAATTTCCTTCTGATTTCATTTCATCCATACAAGCAAAAATTTCTCAATTTTTTTTGAAATATTGCATGATTTAGGTCTCATGACTCTTTGAGAGTTTCTGCTTCTTCACAAGATTATTGTAGGTGCTTTCAAATACCTATTGATTGATATCAGCATACAGTTGCTAGGAAACAGTTTAGTTCAAGCTCATCTTGAGAAATGAATGTACCATACTAGTTGGATTATAGTGTAATCTACACACCCTGAATTGATAAAGAGGCACTAGCTACAGGATTCCAAGTTTGCATCATTTGAACCAGCCAGTGAAAGGAAATCCAGACTCTTGAGTTTGGCTTTTGCACTATCAGTGAATTCCCTGGAGGCTTTCTGCAGTGGAAGCCGGGGCGGGCCCATGGGTATACCAGACACCAGTGTCATTACGGCTTTTGTCTGCGATACTCCAAATCCTAAAAACAAAAATAAATGAGGAAACATGACTTGGCCCATTCACATTACAAACATCCCACAGAAAAGTTAACACACACACACACACACACACATGGATCTTGGTTGCCTGTACTTTGTAAGATAAGTCAGAATGTAAAAGACAGTTTCTCATGGTTCCACTGATTTGGTTAGATTCACAGAAAACAAACAGAATAAAAATAACTCCTACCAGAACCACTTGTTGGCTCCCAATGAAGGGGTGGGGAGCAGGGGTGATATAGGGGTGCATGATGTGACAGGGAGCTTTGTTGGAAGTTGAGTGAAGCATGTACATGGTGTGTACTGTACTCCCCAAATTATGCAGTTATGTAAATGGAGAGCAAATCAATAGAATTTGACTTTAAAATGCCAATATTCTAGCAAAAGTGCAAATCCATTTACTTGGAGCTCTGTTCCATAGTATCACTGCTGATGTGTGTATGTAAACTTTTACTATTAAATTTAGTTCTATAAACATGTTAATAGTTCAATATTTACTTTTAATCAATTTGGAAACATATATGTCTTCCAATCCACAGTTTTATGGAAAGCATTGCTTAAGATAGGGAATAATATTTGTGGTGACACACAAATAAGACAAAATTATGACAGTGGAGAAACAGCTAGAAAGCACTGTCTCTGAAAGACTGGGCTAGCTGAGAACACGGTGGGAACAAGGGCCAACACATAATAGGTGATTGTGGCCTGTGAAGGGTTGCCTGGGTGAGGCAAAAGGCCTCTGAAAGGGAAGTGGGAGGTCAGCCAAGATAAACCTGAACTGTTCCTGGACTTGACCCAGGTTCTCAGGAAGAGACAGTCTTGCTGAGCTGGACGGAATGGCATTTGTCAGGGGATAAGATTTAGGAGATTCTGGAGAAGATGGTCTACCAAAATTCACTCAAATTTTAGTTTGTCCTGTTACCCAGATCACCATCCCTTTAAGATTCCTTGCATTAATAAACTCTTTTTAAGCAGAAAATACTCTTGGGAGTCACTCATTCACAATTTAGTAAGATCTAGATTCAGGCTGTCTTCCTTGGAGCACTTACGCTGATTATCAGCCACAGTACAGCAGTAGAATTGTAATGAGTGTAGGCAAGTGAAGGATTGGGATGCCGGGGGAGGGGGGAGGGTGCAAGAGAAGGGGTGACAAATGGCACCTGTGTAGAGAGGGGAGTTGAGAGCTAATTCAGAAGAAAGAGATTTGTTGAAGGCAGTCAAAGAACTTCCAGTAGGTTTATGTCACCATTTTACAGGACTGGTCCTTTAGGTCAGTAATGGGCATAAAACTGCTTATAACAGGGCATTAAAAGACTTTCTTGTTAAGGCATCAGAGCAACTGATGAAATTCTATTTCCTTTACATTCTTTGGTAGCAGAAAGTAGGAAACTTACCTAGTTTGACCACAAAGTTGATAAATCTCTGGATACAAAACTAGAAAAGAACAGACAAATCTGTAGTAGTTATTATTACTAAAATGTGACAATTTAAAGACTTAAGAGGTCAATTTATAGAAATCTGAAAGCATACACCAGCCAAGTGAGGATGCCTAAGATCCATCTAGGATAAAAAAGGATTTCTGCCATACACATAGGCCTTATAAAAGGGATCATGCCTAAAAGGATCTCCAGTGATGGACCTGGGTAATAGGATGAAGTAGCCACTCCCACTTCTTATCCATCTAGCTTATTTAGTAAACGGATCTAGTGCAGGCATTTCAAAATGGGGTACATGAACCTCTGTGGTACTTTCTAAGTTAAATTAAGGACACTTGGCTGAGCCTAAACTTAAGAGAATAAATTTTTAGTATTTAATTTCCAAAAGTAGTGTACTTTAATTTAAAACTGATCAAAATAAAATTTTACATGGACTGGAAATGCAGGCTGTCTTTTATATATATGCCCTCTTTTATTGCCCTTCTCCAACTTCTGAAAAATTAAAGATGTTCCTCCCACATCACTGCCTTGGGAATCCTCTGGAAGCCAAATAAAGGAGCAAATCAAAATGTTGGTATTGGCATTAACAAAGCAACACAGTGATTCCTGTAATTAATGGATAAAGTTCTCTAAAAAATAAAATCACAGGGTTTTCAATTTTGGCTTTCAACATTGCTCTTAATGCTGCTACACAGGCTGAAAACCATTAAATAATTAAGCAGACTGAGTTCTCAAGTGTTCAAAGAATTGAATGACACACTATAACAAAAAGACTTCTACTCTTTTCTGCTAATTCATAGGAACAGGATTTCCCAGCCAGCACTTATTTCTCTAAAAACAAATGATGAAATTTAACCTAACAAAAAGTAAGTGTATTAATTTGTCACTAATACATGAATGAATTCATTGATTAATAAAAGTCTCATCCATCATCTAAAAAAATGTGTTAAAAAAATTGTGTAGAAAAGAACTGGGATACAGGCCAGAGGTGTGTGTGTGGGGGGGGCGGTTTGGAGGAGGGGGTGATAGGATTCACCAGAGAGAGTGGGAAGCCGAACAGGCTGATCTACTGAAATACACCGGTGAGGGGAGCGGAGGGGAATAGAGGGTGAGACAGTAAAGGTCTGCTGTGCCATGTGGGTCACCTCCCTGGCTGGGGATTGATCTCAGGCCTTAGTGGTGACAGTGTGACAGTAGAGAGACTTAACCCCTAGGTCAACAGGGAGGCCCTAAAAAGATGAAGTTTCAATAACATTTTACTTTCATGATAAAAAATAATTTTCAAAATGTATCATTTATTTATATTGTTTTATTCAATTATTAACTAGTAATAAAAAGTTCAATGCAGATTAAAATCTTAATACTAAGAATCTTACAAATGAATATGTATCTACTCTTTTTTCCCTCACACATGAACTATATAGTTCAGTATATTCCACATTTTGTACTTTGCAGTTTTTTCTCTTAGTATATCAAAAAGATATTTCCAGATCAAGATATAAAGCTACCCCAACCTTTTAAAGGACTGTATATAAAACCATTACATAAGTTGAATAAAATGTATTTAACCATTTCCTAGGTGTGGATATGTGGGCTGTTCCCACCTTTTGCTATTATAAACGCTGCGTAAGGACTAACTAGTACAAGTGTTGTTTCACTTATGCAAACAGAACAGATGGCATTTGAATATGAGTGAATAAGAAAAATTTAGTCCTAACATTTCACTTATCTGTTTCTTCACTTGACTGCAAGGCAAAACCCAGCTTTATTGAAATTATGCCCACAGCTCAGGTCTCGGTATATGAGCAAATGACTACTCAAGACCCACTGGCATTTATTTTCTTGTTAAGAAGAGACCAAAAATGTGGTCAACTAAATTTCTCACCAATGTTATTTTGAGTGGGACTAAGGGGGAGAGGTGCTTAGAGATGTGGGGCGGAGAGACAGAATCTGGATTAGTCAATAAAAGAAAACATTGAAGGGCCCTCCCTGGTGGCGCAGCGGGTTAAAGCACAGCACTGAGAAGCTAAAGCCACTTCTAAATGAGTTCGATCCCGCCTGCCCCAGAGGTGACCACATGGGGTGGCAGACCTCTCCTGGCTCTCCTGCTGCTTCCCTCAGCAGTGTAATTCATAGATCTGCCTGTTCTGCTCCCCACTCTGTCTCTGGTGAATCCTCAGTTCTGTATAAATAAATAAATCTTTAAAAGAAAAGAAAACAATGAGTGGAAGGGTCCACAGCAGAACTGTTTCATGGTTCACTCCATCCTATGATTTACCTCTCACTGAGCTCAGAACAGATTAGAATTTTCAGGAATACCCTTTCCTGGAAAACTAAGGGAATATGAAAATAACCTCAATGCAAAGAGATAGTGGGGGTACAAATCAGACTTATCTCCCCCACCCCAAACTTATATTAATTTACATTCTTGCCAGTGTTTACTTTGGTTGGCACAGCTTCCCAAGTCCCCCACCCCCTCCTACCCATTCTGTCCCTGGGCTCAGCTTCACCTGGTCTGGGGCTAAACAGGTGGACTATTAAATAAGCTATTCTGAGTTTGTGTGTGAAGTAGATTTAGAATACTGCTTCCTCGTACTCTCTGAGTGGCACGTTACCTCACTCCCTCCAGGATGCATTATATTTCCTCTCTGTACCTTTACTCAGAAGACAGTCCATTCTGTGCAAAATATCACGCACCATCTGAATTTTACCGGGCCCAGTCACTGCTTTGATTTTGCTCCTCCCCTTTCATTCCCCTTTATTTTCTTGGAATACTTCTGCATTTACTTTTACTATCGTAAAATCTCAGTGCCTTTCAGCCTTCATGTTTTTCTCTTGTGTTGACCTGATTTTCTTTTGCTTCACCCCATTTATCTCCCCGGCACACTCACTACCCAGCTGCTGAGACAGTTTCTCCACCCTGAAGCAAGGCTCTCCTGACTCTGAACAGTTGAGCTGGGCTGTCCTCATGCAACACTGAGGCAGCCAGTCCTTCCCGGGGTACCACGGCAGCTCTCGCTGCTTCTCCTCCTGTGTCAAGTCTGGGTCTTGTTTCTGCTGGATGTTTCCAGTTCTCAGCATGTTTCCAGGGTGAAGAGCACTTCCTTGTTTTAGCTTAGGGACTTTAGAGTGTGTGTCCTCACTCTCTGGGGACTCTGGCATGATACCCTCAAGAGAATGGCCTGTGGTCACCTTACCAGAAATTTATCACCATGATTTTACAGTTACATTTATACTTGAACATAGAGTTAAAAACAAACTAACAGGGCCCTCCCTGGTGGCACAGCGGGTTAAAGCACAGCACTAAGAAGCTTAAGCCATTTCCTCATGAGTTCGATTCCCGCCTGCCCCGGAGGTGACCACATGGCGAGGCAGACCTCTCCTGACCCGCCCGCTGCTCCCCTCAGCAGTGTACTTCATCGATCTGCCTGTTCTGCTCCCCACTCTGTCTCTGGTGAAGCCTCTCACCGCCCCTGAGCCTCTGGCCTGTACCCCAGTTCTGTATGCATAAATAAATAAATCTTAAAAACAAACAAACAAAATAAATACCACTTCTAGGAGGAGCAGAGAGGAGTCATTCCTATAAAGGGGTCTGTACTGAACAATGTGGGGGCAGATGTGATTTTAGTCATAAAAGGAAGAAACAGAAGAAGCAAGGCCATTTTATTGAGGGCAGGTGTGGTAGGAATGCTAATGAAAGAAAATAACAATCGTGCAGGGTGGAAGACACAGGCTGTGACTGACAGGGAGGGAAGAAAACTTTACCTGATAGTTCAGGGCAGAAGAGAAGTCCTTTCGTTCAAAAGCTTCCAACATCTGGTTTGTCTTTTTTCCCAGGTAGTTATAGGTACTGGAAAAAATACAATATACCTAAGGGTCAATAACTCTCTGGGAAAGGTCCAGATCTTTTAACCCCTCTGTTGCTTGCGAGGATAAAACTTTCCAGGCCTCCCAGATGTCTATTTATGTCCTTACTCTATCAGAAGATTAGGTGTCTTTGAATTTTTCAAAACATCAAGTAGTGCCAGGAGGAGGCGGGAGCTACCAAAGAGAATACAGAGGGGAAATGGACAAAGGGTAAAATTGTGGGGGGAAGAAGTGAAAGACAGAGGTGTATTTGGCAGGGAAGTCAATACCTGCCCAGAGGAAACACAGAACATGATAATAGAAAAAGAACTGTGGATGAAAGGGAGTATATGCAGATGACCAAAAAAGCCTTCTTCTCAGGAATTAGGTGAGTGGAGCATGATGACACCAGGATAAATACATCCCAACACATTACCTAAATTCCTTGTCAATTTATATACCACTTAAAGATTAGTTTTCAGAGAATAATATTAATAGTGATGATAAAATAAGAGCCTACTTATTAAATTCTGGTTGCGTTCCCAGGGCTTAAATCACAGGTAGGGCTCTCAAAGTCCTGCAAGGCAGGCTTCATTTCTGTCTTACTGGGAAGAAACTCTGGCTCCACGGAGAGCTGCAGAAGGGCCCCAAACGCTTCCCAGCACTTAATGCTGCCTCCGATCACAACGCAGCACCAGTGAAGGTGAAAATATTATTTGATCTGATAAATTGATCTTATAGACGTTAACTATACCAATAGAGACAAATAGACTAACCAATATATTTTTAGAGAAACCACCAAGGTAGATGGGCATAAAAATTCATAATAAGGGTGTTTACCCAATTTCTAAACAACTTCTCATGGAGTAAGTATTACAAAATCTGGATGTACCAAGAATGGAATGCTGTTGCTATTTAATGTTTGTACACCCTGTGGTCAACAGCAAGTGATATGAGGAAGATGAAGTTTGAACTGCTTTCTGATAATAGAGTAAGGGAAAATAAAAATACATTGGTTGAGACAAGTCTCTTGTAGAGGTGAAACATCCCACAATATGTACATGAATGTCTGAGAAATTTCAAAATATGACAATTCAAAGCCAGGGGTTTTAGGTGTCCTCACTTAGAGAGGAATATGATTATAATGAAGAAGAAATACAATTTAACAATATACACTTTGCTTATAGATTGTAATGGCAGGATTTAAATGCCTAGTATGAAGACTAAAAAACAAGAGTCAAAAAAAGAAAAAATTGCTGGGAAAATAATGGTTCATGATCAGCAGATCTAGACACTCAGTGTTCCTTGGTAGAAATGTTCCTACAGAGACAGTGGAAACTGCAGGCCATCCTGATTTGGTAAATGAGCTATCAAGGTTATCCATTTTAATTGTTCTTCACCAAAGCTTTGCTCATCATGATATGCTATGAATATTACTTTGTTCTCCTATACTTTTCCTGCATATAAGTTAATGGAAATATTTCAATTGTTCTTCTTGCAGACATATTTCTGAAGAATTAAGTGAACATATACACTGGGCATGCTAATCAAGCCACCTGCCTTTCCTGTCTTTTGCTGAGTAGGTATCAGGTCACATGATTCTACTTCCTAAAAGCAGTTGACATGACAACTGACTAGGCAGTGTGATCTGTGTTATCCTCAGTGGCCAATGCAGCCACAAAGGCCTATGTGTACATGGAAGCAGAGAAACCCCATCTAAAGAGAGAGGGAAATAGAGAGCTACCACAGTGAATACAACTAGAGGGTCACTGTGTTGGCTGCTGAGAGGTTTGCAATTCCATCCTGTCTACAACCTGGCAGCACTTCTTCCTCCTAGTTTTACATCATATCCCAGCATTTCATCACAACTTACTATGCATACTCTGAGTTCACGTGTTTTAGCACTAACTGCCACAGAGCTTCTAAAGAACAATGGCTGAGTTGCTAACAAATGAATTAGCCCTCCTTGATTTCCTTTTGTTGAATAGAAGTGAGGGTGAAGACAACTTCTGACAGAAAGGAGCACATGAAAGAAGTATACCTAGCTCTGGCAATGAATACTGCTGAGTGGGGAAGGGGTAGGACTTTTATTTGTAATCACTAGAGGAAATGACTTACCTGCCCACTGCTCCAGTTGCTCCTATCACCAAAGCACTCAACAGTTGCTAATCAGAAACAGAGAAAGAATATTCACTTTTATGAAGAAGAAAAATAAAAGTTGCGACTATATAAGCAGCTATACAAATTGTTGGGAAATTTGAAGGGAAATTAAGTTGCTGGAATATTTCAGGGGGTAACTCACCTCATCCACCCCAAAAAGGAAAGAAAACTCTTGCTGGCGATTCTGATCAACGCACTGTCCGAAGTCTAAGAGATCTGTGTCACTGAATTTCAGTCCCTGGAAGGTGGGGATCTTATCCTGAATCCCATCCAACAACTCCTCAGCGCGAACTGCTCAAATAGTTAATGCCTCATTAGTCTGCAAAACTCCAGACAACACCACATAACTCACATAGTTGCACTGAGCTGTTGGGGGCTGTTCTCAGCTGGAAAAGACTGCATTGGACACAATCACTTGCCCTTGCATGCTTGTTAAATTATAGCCCTAAGCATTACAATCTGTGAAGACAGTAGGATATTTAGAAAGTATACTTCTATTTTTTTAAGGAAGTTAGAAAGGAATGGGTTTCAAAAAAATGTTTACCTGATTGTAACAATCTTCTTACTGACACACTAGAAGAAAACTGGGAAGATCTCAGAGTACCTTCCCACATACCAGGCAAAAGATTATAGTAGCATATTAAGGCAAATATAGTCCTTACACCAAAGGCTAAAACCTCATGTCTTCATATATATAAATATAAATACACACACACACACATAAATAAAGGAGATGTGACTGATACCAGATGTGATTGACACAGTGCTGTCGGCTGCACTCTAGGGTCAATTCTTTCATATTTACCTTCCATAATCAGGTGGTGTCAGCGGTTCATACAACTGACTTATTTTTGATACAAAAGACTTATTTTGGACCAATTAAATTTGTCTAGTCAACAGTGTTATAATGCGTTTGTGATGTGGAGTGGGTGGGTAGAGTAGGGATTTTTAAAAAAAATAGGATAGGCCATGAGAGATGGAGATAAAGACGTAGTACTTACTCTTTACCCCTGTCAAGGTGGGAATATGATAATAATAAAATGGCAATGTAGGTGCAGCCGCCGCCACCTCCTTTAAGAAATTAATCAAGGCATCTGAAAGCATAGTAGGAAAAGTCAGAGTATGAACAAGTATAAAATGCTGATTTTTCTGGTTCAATTAAAAAAAATGAGTCATCTGATGAATGCAACTATTATTTTCACACTCCAAGAATTCTTGATCACTCTTAATCATTCCTGATACTGCTATGGCCATGTCTTTGCAACTCACTACATTTGTGCCTTATTTTCCTCTGTAGAGAGGTCAAAATAAGATGATCACTTTTCTGTTATACTAACATACCATTAAAAAAATAGTGTCAGCCTTACCACATATTAATATATCATGTAATACTCTTAAAAACCAGAAGCTCATCAGGTAAGATGCTTATTCTCTTGCCCCAGAAAGACTAATTGCAATCCATGAAAATGAACTTTCCAGTAGGATCAAGTAATAAGCTTGAAACACAGAAAATCCTTTATTATATTTGTAATTATATAATGATGTAATTATATATAATATACATATATAATTGCATCATTCTTCATTTTGTACATTTTTTTATCTCGGTTGTAATCCCCATGGACTTCCCTCCACTACTCCCCATGTGCCATCATCATAGTCCCATATGCTCTTCCTGCTCCAGCTTTGAACCTGTTCCCCTCTCCTTCCCTGTATAATGTCTCTGGTTTATAGTTGTTTGTTGATTTTCATTTTTATTTTGTTACAATTGCTTTTTTTGCAACATGGAAAATTCTATTTCAAAAAGATAAACATCTGTTCAAAGAAGAGGCTATAAGAGTATCAAATCCCATAATTCAATCAGCTTGGCACTTTATTCTTTTGGGATGACATTCAGGTTTATCAGAAGAGTGATCACTTTGATTAACAGGGGAATTTGAATTTCCTTCACCATCAATATGATTTGCAGCTGCAACAACCACAGATAATGAGTTAATCTGGTCAAATTGTTTACACCTTGGATGCCATTGAATAGCAGAGAGAGAATCTTGTATACTTCACCTAGGTAATATAGTACCCTTTATGATAAATATTTCTGACAGAATTATTACATGTAATTTATTATTTCTTCTCTTGTGAAAAATATTCATGTAAAACTTTTTAAAACCATGTGATAAAATCTTTGAAAATACTAATGTGTCTCTCAAATTACATATTTAAATCACTTACCTATATTGACAACTATTTTCCCTTTACCAATAATAGGTATTTCATAATTAGATTCTTTGTATATTTAACTATGTATTTTTTAAATAAATATTTATTTATTTATGCACACAGAACTGGAGTACAGACCAGAGGTGCAGAGGCGGTGAGAGGATTCACCAGAGACAGAGAGGGGAGCAGAATAGGCAGATGGACGAAGTACACTGCTGAGGGGAGAAGTGGGCGAGTCAGGAGAAGTCTGCTATGCCATGTGGATCACCTCCGGGGCCTGGGATTGAACTCGCACTGAGGCAGCTATGGCCAGCTTGCAGGGCTGCATCCTAACCTGTTGTGCCACCAGGGAGGGCCCAGCTATGTATTTTTTAAATCATATGTGCAAATAATGTGTTGCCTGTTTTTAATTCTTTTTCCAAGTCTATTTTCTTTTTGTGTGCAATTCAAAAGAATTAAAAAATGTCAGTACACTTGGAAAGAGAAAGAGAAAGCAATAACAAGAGAAAAAGAGAGACAAGACAAGCAAAAACAAGAGAGAAAGAGAAAGCAATAAGGTGACATATCAGAAGACGATGGATATTCCTGTGACATCTCTTTTCAAATTCATTGCTAAGTTATCCCTGAAGGGATAAGTAGTTTCAAAATGCCCACCATTAATTTTTTCTCTTTCTTGAGAAAAATACTTTGCCATGTTACGCTAAAACTGCCCTACTGATGGCCAAGCACAGGAGCTAGGATGGTCCCTGGCATAGTTGTTAACTGTCAAATCATGTGGCAAACAAGCTGTTTTCCTTTACTAGTCTCTTATGAATCTAGAGAAGTTGAATATGACTACTGTACCATTGCAATGTCATGCCGTTAGTCCACAGAATTTTCTTTGCTGCTTTTAATTAAATGTTATTGATTAAATATAGTGAGTTGAATATAATTATTCATTTGTAAAACTACTTAAGTTTCGGAACAAAACTTCACACCTTGAAATATGTATATGCTATATTCATTCTTGAGCCCTCAAGCTACCAAATTGACCCCTGTACCCACTATGCCCACCTGCTTCCCCTCTGGTAAGCACCATATTTTTTGACAAATTCCAACAGTTACTTTTATTGTTTTTTGCTAAGGGGTTTTGTTGTTTTATATTGCACATAAGAGTGAAACCATAAAGAAATTGTCTTTCACTTTCTGGCTTATTTCATTTAGTGTCATCACCTCCACTTCCACTCACTGGGGACAAAAGGCAAGATTTCATCTTTTTTTTTTTAAATAGCTGAATAATTATTCCATTCAGTATAAATATCACTTCTTTATCCACTCATCTGTCCTTAGGCATTTAGTTTGATTCTATGTCTTGGCCATTCCAAATAATATTACTATGAACATAAGAGAGCATATGTCTTTACAAATTACTATATTCAATGGTTTTTGGATACCTACCTAGGTGTGGTATTGCTGGATCATATGGTATTTTGATTTTTAGTTATTTTAGCAATCACTATGCTGTAAAACTTTCAATATAACTCGTTTGAATGGAAGCAAAAAGAAACAGACTGTGCAGCATAGTATCTATGTACCTTTGTTTAGAGACTTGAAAAAGAAAGGTGCAATGACAGCAATGCCATCAGCTCCTATTTCTGCTGCATGTTGAGCCTTTAAAAGAAGAAGAAAACATTATAGGTTCGTAACAATTTTGATATAGGTTCGTAACAATTTTGATATGTGCCAACAAACATTTGATGGCAGTAACTTACCGACATCAGCTGGGTATTTACAATTCAACTCAAATCTGACACCACCTACCTGAAGATAGCATCAGATCTTACAAGTTAAGGGCTCAATTCCACTCATCTGTCCCCTTTACCCTTCACTTTGGAAGCCAGTTACAAATCCAGGTTATCACCTATGTTTCTTTTTTTATATATAATATTTTATTTATTTATGCATATAAGAACTGGGGTACAAGCCAGAGGTGTGGGGGTGAAAGAGACAGATTGGGGAATATAAAAGGCAGATTGACTGAAATACACTGCAAAGGGGAGCAGGGAGTGGGACAGGAGAGGTCTGCCACGCCATGTGGGTCTCCTCCCGGGCAGGTGGGGATCGAACTGATGAGGAAGTGGCTTAAGCTTCTTAGTTCAGTGTTTTAACCTGCTGCGCCACCAGGGAGGGCCTGAGAGTGGAATTTTTATAATCTTGCAAGAATGTATAATATTTCTCACTTCTGAATTCCTTTAATGGGGAAAACAATCAAATAAAACCAATGCCGTTGTGCTAGTTTAAGTCATTACAGTCTTCGGGGTAGAACATCCCAATTCTGGAAACCTGGTTAATTATTGGCAGCCTAGGCACTGGGCCTCCAGTAAACAATGTCAACATCTTTAAACCTCAAGCCTGCCAGCAGTTCATCTCTTTCCTCCTTTGCTCCACCTAATCTGCTAACCTCTAAACCTAAAACAATCTGTGTTCTAGTTCCTATGCTCTGGTTGAAAAAAATACCTAGGAAAAAATTCCCACAACCGTATTGAAATATGGTATGAAAAATTTATGACTTACATGTTTCATTGTTTTTTTTGCCAACACTGGGCAATCTTTTTAAAAACAATTTATTGCCTTAAAATTTATTTTAAAAATTTATTTTTAAAATTTATTGCCTTAAAATTTATTTTTAGAAACGTAATAAAACTTGCTGCTTTATCCATATATAAAAGTAGTTTAGTAATATATGTATATATATGTGCATATATGTACACAATTCAGTAGTTTTGAACATATTCAAACATATATATGTGAATATATGTATATATTATGTGCATACATGTACAACTCTCCAAAGTCTTGCATTGCAGAAATCCTAACCTCTCTGCCATTAAGAAATCCCTTTTCCCATGCCTTCTTAGTCTCTGGAAGCCACCATTCTACTTTTTGTTTCTACAAATTTAACTAATTTAAATACTTCCCCTCAGATAAGTCATATAACATTTGTCTTTTCATAACTGAAGTATTTCATGTAATGTAATCATTCTCCATGACAGAATGAATTTCCTACCATTTTAAGGCTGAAAGATACTTCATTGTCCATTGATCACACTGCATTTATCCATTCATCCTTCCAAAGGCACCTGGGTTGCCATTGTGGGACCATCGTGCTGCCAATAAGGATGTGAACACTCTTTGTGTCCCTTCATTCTCCAGGCAGCAATTCTCAATCCTTACCATTCACCATCCTTCTACTTTATACCCAGCAGATGGCTTTCTTTTACTTCCTAGCAAAAACAGATTGGCTCAAGCTCCCTCACCTCACCTGCAAACTTGGCTATGCCTTTACCCATCCTCACCTGGCTCAGATGAAGAGATGCCTCTATCTTCCATCCAAAGCCCAGTGATGGCAGTTCTCATCGTGAGCTACTCTCCTTACGACTCTATGCCTGCTCTGAGCTCCCTGAGGTCACACACTTTATATTCTCCAGCACAGCACCCAAGGTATAGCAAGAATGGTATTGATTTTAGCTTCAGCATAAAAATGGAGGACCCTTGAGTGGTCTCTCCTAGGTGGACCTATATACCTACCAGTTCTTGTGACTCCTTCAAGCTCAGAGCACCAACATGAATTACCACTTGATCCAACCTACAATAGAGAAAGCACTGTTGCACAGTTTCATGTTTATAGCATCACAGAAGTGTTGCAATATTCTGGTGTGTGCTGGTTTTAGCAGACAGCTCATATCCAATTCACTGCAATCTCAAGACATTAAATTCCACAGGTTTAAGGTTAATGTAATTAGGAACTAAAAAAATAATGTCCAGGAAATAAAATTTAAGGTTTAATCAAGAAGTAGAATTTTGAGGAGTCCCTGGTGGCCTAGGGGTTAAGTCTCAGTGTTATCATCATGCCAGCTTGAGTCAATTTTCCACTCCTTTTAAAAAATCTTCTCCCAAGGCTTCAGCACAGAAACATATTCAAGATTTATCCAGATTCATCTTTTTCTTTTAGAAAAAGAAACTGCACTTCCATAAACCTTGTTTCCTCCTGCCTCATATATCACCCCATCTCCCCTGCCCTTCACCAGAACAATTTTTATGAGAATAAGCTATTCTCACTGTCCAGCTGCCACACATTTGTGCATTCCACAGCTCACTGCATCCTGCACCTGCCTCAGAAGCCTGCTTCCTCTGCTCCCTCACATGCTGCATCACTTCCTACATGTCAAACCAAAAGGTCTTCCCAATCCTCTAACTACTGACTTTCTCAGTATCAAATAATTCTAATATTGCAGCATCTACTGTAAATGATTACAATGAATGCTTGCATAATACTTAGTACTATGTGCCAGGCACTGTTTGAAACCTCCTAAGACTTTTAAGAAAAGTTACAATTACCCCTATTTATCCATGAAACCCAGGTAGAGGAGTTTACAGGACTAGAAAAGGCAGAGCTAGGACCCAGACTCAGGCTGTGTGACCCAAGGTCCTTCTCTTAACCCCCACGCCAGCTACACTGATGTTCTCTGGGACCGCCTCCTTGGCGTAAGTGACTGGGTTCACTCCTGACTCCCACTCCTACCTTTCTGAAGGTACTCTGTTTCTGTCCAGTTCATCATGCTCCCTTTTCTGGTGACTTCCTTAATACTTAGCCTTCGTCTTTCCCTTTTCTTACTCTTCCCAGGGTTTGTAATCTTTCTGGGTCCAGGATTTGAATGAAAATGAATTAAAAGCCATACATTACCAGAAAATGCTTATGTGGACTCACATAAGCTCAACCTTGACATAAAGTTCCAGCAAACCACTAAAATTAAAATGTAAAAGACCTTGACATATTTCCAGGATCACTGGTTACCTGTGCCACAGACTGTTACCTCCAGCCTCAGCCTCTGCCTAGGGCGACACCCATCATGCCCTTCACGGATCAGTATGATCCGTTCATTTCTTTGATCTGACATGCCCACGGACTGGTAAGCATCGTGAGGGCACAGACCCTGTTGCATCTCCCCCAGCCAGTGCAGACACACAGCAACATAACCGTGATTAAACCTGCACTGATAGGACCCTTCGTGTTTGAGAATAGTATGAGAAGAGCGGAGCACTATAACATACTATTACAGTGAAATTTAGAGGATGTAGAAAGCTCCTGAAAATTACAAGAGGAAGTCCAATAAAGAGCATGCTGGGTGAAAGCACAGGCCTTGTAAGGAAGCACCCAGCTGACAGAGCAATCTGAAGCTGTCCTGAGACAGAGCTGTATAGCAGAAGAGCCAGGAGCCCAGCAGTTCACCAGCACCATCTTTTCATCTCTTCAGATCAACAACAGGTACCTGGAAGGGACTGGCCTTACTGATTATTTTATTTGTTTTTAAAAGATGGTATCTGTGAGCTATGCATATTGCCTGCCCCTGGGGTGTGTGTGAGTCCATCCAAAAACCTTTCTTCTCTCAGCTCATAACCAGGAGAGTGAAGCCTCTCAGTTTGTGGGGAATTTTTTTTTCCTGCCAGATGACTGGAGGGCAGGGTGGCTGTTCTGCTTTGATTCTCATGGTTCTGGTATATACTTGTTATTTGTTTAGGCTTTATTTTTTATTTTTTAAAGATTTATTTATTTATGCATACAGAACTGGGGTGCAGGCCAGAGATGCAGGGGCAGTGAGAGACAGAGTGGGGAGCAGAACAGGCAGATTGACAAAGTACACTGCTGAGGGGAGCAGCGGGTGGGTCAGGAGAGGTCTGCCTCGCCATGTGGGTCACCTCCGAAGCAGGCAGGTATCGAACTCATGCTGAAGTGGCTTTAGCTTCTTAGTGCTGTGCTTTAACCACTGCGCCACCGGGGAGGGCCCCTTACTGATTATTAGTGGGCAATTTCTGGATGGAACTTCTGGGGCCAGGCGTGCCTGGCAGTGTGGCTGCCCTTACACACAGAAAGGAAGGGGCTCCTCTGCCTCCGACCCTGGCCTCCCAACGGTCAAGATCCTGGAGTCTCTGTTTTCCCACGAGGGGACATCCAGCCTGACTTATGGCCAGATGCATAGGGGCTGGTCACTGATCAGGGCTAGAGCTGTTGCTGCAAGTGTTTAACTGGAGCCACTCACTTGTTCCTCCCCCTTGTTACCCATTCCTCTGCGACCTGCCGGCGTTCTGCGATGCTCAGGGACAGGCCTTCTCCCGTGGTTCCGTTCACTGTTCCAAAGGAAGAGTCAGTCAGTGGGACCAACCAGTCCCTCAAGCTCCCCCAAGCCGGTGCTGCAAGTGCAGGGCAGGAAATTCCCACGTAAGAGGAAGGGACCAGGATAGACACCAAGGATAGAATCTGGGTATGGGAATGCCAAGCTTCCATTGCCAACCCAGACTCAGTCCTTTTGGCCATCTGCACCTGGTAAAAATCAGCAGGAAGTCTAATTATGAACTGTAATTACCATCGGTCCTTGCTCACGGACACAGGGAGAAATTTGAATGGAGACAGGTAACTGTTCAGATTTTAGGCAAATCTCCAAACACAACACTCAGGTCTATATTTGGACTTGAAAACCAACACATCAAGGTGGACATAAATAGGACAATGGGATAGGTTACAGATCCAAAAATGCCTCTACATTTCGATGAGATGGTAGGACAACCCATAACTAAAAAACGATAACTCATGAAAAGGCACGTCTGCATACTTTCAGTCTCATAACAATTCAGCACAATATTAATGATTCTTCCCATTTACAGATGAAAATATATGTTTTGAATCACTGAATCATCCTTTTAAAGCCAGATCCATTTGATGCCATGTTCTGAACATGTTCTCTCTCAATGAGTTGTGCAAAAGATGCTGATTGTACCAGGATACATGACTGGGGTCTAAGGCACATGGATGTACTTTGGATCTCCAAGCACCAAACACTCAGCTGGAGCTAAAGGGGGACAGGGGAAGGGGTGCAGAGAAGGGTGTTCTGATCACTCTTTTGGGTTTTGAGATGCTTCAAGTGTGTTCCAGTGGTAGGGACGCTCCTGTTCTCCCCTGCACTCATGGAGGGGGGTTCCTTTGAGTAAGAAACTGTCTTCCCTACTGTCCCTCCTGTGGTCTGGAGCTGTAGGGGACACCTGGTGGTTCTGTAACCAGATTTTGGTGTCAACATGTGACCCAGGACACCCGCTCATACAAGTTTTAACCAGCTCTATTATGACCACGGGACCTCTCTCTGGGGGGCTGCAGAGACAGAGCGGTAGGTCTAGCACAGCGTCCTCAGAATGTCAATGGAAACAAGGGGCCCAGCGCCCAGGACACAATGCAGGGGGTCACCCAGTCACAGAGAATTCTAGTTCCCAGACTTAAAAAGCCAAGGTTTGATGTTTAAATCTTCACAGCATATGAAACAGGTAAGGGCATCTGCTAAACCAGTGACTCCTCCATGAGGTGTATTTAGAGGCTTACATTTGATTTGAGTGTTGGCAAAAACTGAATAAGCCCTATCTTTAAAAGAGAAAAGCCCGGGTTTTGTTGTATGTTCCCACTTCTTGGGTGGGTGAACTTGGGCACCCTAAACTGAGCCACAAATTTTCCTTTCCAAATAGGGGTGAAAATAGTATCCGGCCTGAAGGTACACCTCCAGATTTGATAATCTTATTGAGGCGCCCTGTAGATGTAAAACTGGTATGGCTACAAACTCACACATTTTACTTTGCCTAAGCAGGCTCAGTCATAACTTAGGACATACCGACAAGGTTCCCCCTGGCTAGTAAGGCGAGGATTACTTTCTAAGGACTGAGCTAAAGATATAGAGAGAAACCTGAAGAAAATAACTTACCAAAAATATTCTTTACTCCTTGTTCTTCCACAAGATAATCCACATACTGACCAATTACTGAAAAGTTGATTTCTCTATAGGATACAGGAAAAAAGTGCAACCTTAGTCATTTTGAGATTATTTCACTAGCCTCCTAGACTCTAACTGCTCTCTCTTATGAGCAGTCACTAAAAAATCCACCTCATCAGCTGTAAAATGCTTAACTTGTCCTGACTAATAGCTTTCATATTTTTCCAGTGAGTTTGGCGATTTCCCTGCTCGGTCCCAAGTCCCTCACTTGGGACAAAACACTATCATTTATAACACTTTGCATTTAAACTCATCACAAGTAGTATTTTAGAAGTAATTTACCAAATCATTGTTTGCCCTTTTGGGACTAGGGATGGTTGGGGTATAGTAAACTGGGAACTTAACATTTTCCATCTAGCAATCATTTCTTAAGCTAACAAGGTCAAAAAATTTGATCTTAATAACAAGAATTGTAGCAGTGAATACCTATCAAAACAAAGGAAGGCTTAAACTCCGCATTTGCTGGCTTTAAGTCAGAATTGACAGTTAAAAAGGACCTCTGCTTTCATTGTGTCTCAAGTGTGAGCTACAAAACAGCAGCCTCAGCATCCAGGGGCGTCTGTCAGACATGCAGAGTCCTGGGTCCCTAGAGTCCTGCCTGGCCAGACCTGCCCTGTAACAAGATCCTTTGTTGTACGTTGCAGTCTGAAGATGCTGATCTTGTATGCTTAAAGCACACCCTGAGTTCCTTAAAACTGTACTGATTTTATTTACATTTTTTTAAATTTATTTATGCATACAGAACTGGGATGCAGGCCAAGGTAGGGGCAGTGAGCTGATTCACCAGAGACAGAGTGGGGAGCAGAACAGGCAGAAAGACCAAGTATACTGTTGAGGGGAGCAGCAGGGGGCGTGTCAGGAGGGGTCTGCTCACGCCCATGTGGGTCAGCTCCCTGGCTGGGATGGAACTTGCACTGAGGCAGCAGTGGCTAGCTTCGTAGTACTGCGCTTTAACCTGTTGTGCCATCAAACCATACTGATTGTAAAATCTAGAACCTGACACAAATCATATAAAGTGACCTGTCAGGGATGGAGGGTGAAAAGCCAAAGTCACAGTGCGTGGCAAATCTGTGTTGAATGGTACAGAATCCATGGTCACTGTGTCCAGAAATTGCCACTTGGCTTCCATTTGCAATTTCGTCAGCTGGGTGAATACTAATTTAATTTAAATATTATTAGCATTTTTCCATCTTATTCAGTAAGTAACAAAATAAAACTAATAACCCCATGCAGATAGGAAACAAAGAAATCCAGTCAACAGGGGTGGCCATCACCAAGCTCTATTGACCAATCCAGCACAAGCGCTCTGCATTGTCCCTGGCACCAACTAAATGCTAAGTCACAACTATAATAATAATTCCTCAGTGATGAAAACCAGAAATACCTCACACCCCAGCAAAGTTCACATCTCTATTACTGCAACCATCTTGCAGATTGTGCCCAAGTCCACATTGGAGCAAGAACTTCCTAAAGTTGGGAGCTGTGTCAGTGATGCTTTCCAGGCCCTTGCAGATGCTTGACTAAGGCTGGGTGAAAGTGCTTGTGGGATGGGCCCTTGCAATGATCTCCATGATCATCCATGATCTGCAAGCTTGCAGGATGCTTTAACTTTTGCTATTCCATGAATTGAGTAAAGGTATAACACAGTTAACTAAAATGCACAGGAAACTATGGTGAAAGCCATGACTGAGTTAAAAACTATGTGATTCAGAGTAGGCTGATTTTTCCAGTTGGGGAAGTTGGGAAGAAACCTTCAAGGAAGAGGAGGTCCTGGAATGATACACAAGCTGACTTCCCCCTCATCCCTTCCTGAGAGCTGTGGTTGGTTCAGCCCTCCCTCTGTAGGAACTGACAGTCCCTCAGGCACATCTAGGCCTGTGTGTGAAATCCACAGTTTTTCTCCTTCCTCAGTGAACCCCACACTATGGCTTCAGTGGGTAGTGTGTCTATCTACACTGACCCACCTCTTCCTCAGGCCTTGCTGGATGACAGGTCATGGCAATGTCACACAGGCTACACATTATCTATCCTGACCAGAAAGCACAGTTTCCCCCTTCTTATAAAATGCCGTTCCCTGTAGGAGCAACACTATGATAGAGTTTTCAAGGCAATGGCACAGTCACCCAAAAATGTCCTTGAACTGACAGCTTTTGGAACTAGCAAGTGCTTTAGAGTGATCAGCGTTTGTGCAAAGGGATGTGTCCTAAATGTGCTCTGCTCAGCTTTCACAATATTAACATATCTCTTCATGTACAAAAAAATTGACTTCATTTCAAAACCTAGAAGATCCAAGGGAGGGAGGCTGACCTTTCCTCTCAGTTTCCCTACAGCTCCCAAAGGCAGCCAGGGGGCAATGCTGCCCCTTTGGGGGTGGGCACAGGAGCCCCCAGGTCGCCTCAGGGATTTCAGACTCCTGTCTGACTGTGGGGAAAGGCTGCAAACCTTGTCAAAGAGGCTTGGTGGCGCTCAGCACACTAAATCACCCAGAGCTGTGACCCTATTTGTCACAAGGCTCCTCAAACAGCAGGGCTGGGGTGATAACATGGACAGGGATAACACTGTCTGGGTACTTTGCTCCCTTTCCTGTTTTCAGGAAATCTGAGTTTATGTTCCAGGTATCTGAGTTTATGTTCATTGCTGTAGGGATGGCATCAGTTCTCAGAAATCATTGGGCTGAATGAAAACAACGAGATTGGATTTTTCATCTCCTCACTGGGGCTTATGGAAGAAAGAGGTGGCACAAGCCAGTCTACCTGAGAGCCTTGAACTGGTTTTCCATGGCATCGTTCCTTCCTCTGCGAGCTCCAAGAACCCACAGGACCACCAACCACCTTGGGGAAGGTGACCAGGATGGGAAAGGTGACGTCTCTTGCTGTAGACATTCCCAAACTGAATTCCAATTTAATGTCTTAACTTCAATTCTCATGAGTTCAGATTTTTTTTGCCTTCAGTCTGTGATTTTCTTTTTAAAGAAGACTATATATATATTTTTCATATTAGAGAAGCTATATGGTTTATTTTAGATTCACACAATTAGAAAAAGGATGAGGGGGGAGGCCTTAGGATCTCCCTGGAGATAACTCATTATTTTTATTAGTTTAACATTTTTCACTTCAAAAATGCATGACATCACATTTTGTTAAATAAATATTCTCACACATAGTATTGTTTTCCACTTTGTTTTCCAAACTGAGTATTTCCCCACGTCTTCAGAGTTCTGTTATTATACTGACTGCACAACACTTAATTGTGTGAATGAACACAAATCACTTAGCCAACTGTATATTCTTACATACTTAGTTTGCTTCCAACTGTAGTTAAGAGGAGGGGTAAGTAGCATTTCAGAGAAAATTTCAGAGGAGGGCTAAGTAGCATTTCAGAGAAAAATCCCACCAGGGTCCCTTTCCTCTCCGGGTACACGACATGGTGAAAGCTTTGTACTTCATTCGAGAACGGTCACTAAGACTGGAGAACAGTCAATAAGACTGGCCCTTTTCTTAACTGCAGGACCTGACATGCATAATAGAAAATACAAGGTTCCACTTTGGATCTTTTTAATATAAATCTCAGCATTTGAAAGATAGGGATTAGTTTGCTTTTAGCAAAATAACTACTCAGCCACTTCAGAACCCCTGGGGCAGAGAAGTGTGCTCAGCTCCATGGCTGCCCCCTTGCCTGCTAGGAAATGCTCAGTTCTGGGAATCTGGGACACTTTTTACCTCCAGTACACTTAAAAAGACAACATCCTACAACTCTAACTAGGCAGGCAGGCAGGCACCTCTTACAGTACTGGGTAGCTGGTGTGGTGTTACTCAAGAGTGTTGTAAAGATTCCTCTGTTGAAGTCAAGGGAATTCAAGGAAGAAAACAACTTTTATTTTGACATTTTGGTCAATCTGAAATGGACTTTCTGTTCTAAAGACCAAGTAGCTGCTAGAAGGAAAAAAAAAATCTTTGACTTTAATATAGAAAAAGAGGAAGTTTGGGAAGAGTAGGGAAAGAGCCTCCCTTCTGGCTCTGTGGTGAGGGCAGGTGTGTCTGTGATATCTTGTTTTCACAAACTGTAAAACTAGAGAAGGAAGTTGTTGAGAAGATTAAATTGTTAAGATGGAAATTAAAATTCCATGCATGACAGCGAGTGTTTAGGCAATCAGTGTTAGTTTTCTTTCCTTCTTTTTCTTAGCTGCAAGCATTGTTCACCCCTGCAGTATTTCTACTCACAAAATAACAGATCTATCACACACTGTGTTAGATGATTAAAATACAAAAACAAGTAAGACATGGGCTTATTTTAATTTTAATGTGTTACCTGTTGAAAAAGTTTAAATAGCTCAAAGCCTGTTAGAAATATGCATGTAACAGTTACCATAAAACCTATAAACAAATGATTCTGCTATTATGAGAAAGGTATGCAGATGCTGTGAGATCCTGGGGGAAGGAACCCTTTAACTCCTTTTAGGGAAAATGAGAAGAATCACGGGAGGGTGGTTCTTATGCATATAAAAGATGTATTCAAATGGGGTAGAGGAAGGAGAAGAAAGCAGAGGAAATGGAATGCCTAAAGACACAGAGCAAGGGTTATGAGGAAGTAGAAATGAAGCAGGAAAGGGAGAGGGTTTCTTATGACATCCAAGAAGTCTGGGTTTGGACATTTAGATCAGGTCAGACTGAATGCCCTATAGAATTTTCTAGGAACACATTTAAAAGGCGGGTTCAGTGGCTGGGTGTTAGGCCTGAGGGTCTGTATTTCTAGCAAACTCCTGTGTGATGATGGTGTTTGTAGTCCATGGGTCACACAAGGAGTAGCAACATTTAGAGAAAAAGGAGTCAACAGAAATTCCTAAAGAGGAGAGAGACGCGTTTATCCCCGAGGCTGGTTTCACTGGGCTCAGTGTGATCATCACAATGCCCCTAAGACTAACCCCAGAGCACTGCAGAATCAGATGAGCCTCAGAGGTGATGAGGGTGAATTCCCTGTCTTTACAGAATAGGAAAGAGAACTTTTCAAAACAGAGCAAGTCAGAGCATGTCATGATTTCTCTCCTATGTGGCATACAGAGAAATCAAACAAACACATTAAATAAGTAAAATAAAACAAACTTTTAGTCTATCGGATCATAGTGGTGGTTACCAGAAGAGAAAGGGGAAGAGAATAGGAAAATTGGATAAAATAGGTCAACTGTGTGGTAAAGGGCGAAATTAGACTTTAAGCGGTGAGCCTAACGTTGTAAGTATAGCTACACCTGAAACCTATGTAATGTTATAATACAATGTCACTCTAAAAAATCAATTAATTAAAAAGCATCAAAAGTAATAAATAAAAACTGACAAGCTTTCCCAAGGGTCAAACAGCTAATTAGTGGCAAAGCTGGGGGTCAAGAACTCAGATAATCTCTATCTAATTGCATTTAACTATGTTCTTTTTGCCACCTTCCCCTTCAAGGACTTAAGCTTCAATTTAGAGAGCTGAATCATTAGAGTTAAAAGAAAAAAGATGCAAAGGAATAATTCTTAGTCATTCTGAATTATGGAAGTCATGGTAAATTGTACGTACCAGATTAGGTGGACTTTCTAGGTAATATATCCCATGGGACCCTTTTGTTCATCCAGTCTTTTGAAAACATGTCAGAAATGCAAATTCCCTAGTGGGTAACTAGATTAATGCTTACCTGCTCCTGGTTCATTTTCCAAACCTGCTTTGAACCTATAAAATGGTTTGGATGCAGGTGGTGGGAGAAAAGGGAACTAGTATAGCTGACAAAGTGTTATATACTAACATGTATTATTTAAATTAATCCTTGAAAGGCCCTTACCAAAAATGCATTCTTATTTTGATTGCATACCTCAGGAAAGTGAGGTTCCTTGAAGAGGAAAGGAGAATTAAAAAAAAAAGGAAGACATACTGAAACTGTAGGAGCATGATCAGAGGTATTTGGGAAATGGAGGATCCAGAAAAGCAGTCATGTTAGTTATCTCTAATACAGAGGGTCGATGTCCCAGAAAAGCAGCAGAATAGGGAGGAAGAACATTCTGGCACTAGCAGTGAGTCTCAGGTGAGCAAATAAGACTGCTTTTAGAAGCCATTTCTAGGGCCTCCCTGGTGGCCTAAGGGTTAAGGCTCAGTGCTGTTACCACTAGGGCGAGCACCTGAGTTCAGGACTATGATCTGCAGCCAGGGAGGTGACCCACGTGGCTCCGCAGACCTCTCTTCTCTCACCTGCTGCTCCCCTCAGCAGTGTTTTTCAGTGGAACTGTCTGTTCTCCTTCCCACTCTGTCTCTGGTGAATCCTCTCAACCCCACTCCCTGCACTTCGGGCCTACACCCCAGATTTTCTATGCAAACAAAAAAAGAAGCCAGAAAAGAAAAAAAAGTGGCATTAACCAGATGTACGGCTTTGAATTCCAAACAAACAGGAAGTAAATTTGCCTGCTCAATCAGTCACATGTTCTCTGTTTTATTTGCCAACAAGTAGCTGACTCATTGAGAAAGAGCTGACTTCAGTTTTCCTTACAATTTGTGTGAAAGGAAAAGCAACAGAAAATAAAACTGCTATTAACCACTGAGTAATCCAAATATTATCTCAGCAAGAGTTTTACTGAATCTAATAAAGATGTGATTTCTTTGAATTTTGAAGCCAGAAGACATGTACTCCAGTGACGGAAAGGGAACACTTTGATATCACCAACTTTGAATGAGAATACTAAACATAGAAGTGTCACCTATTTTAAAGATTTAGGGCTAAGATTTATGAATTCAGCACGAGAAGACCAAAGGAAAAGACTTATTTAAACATATCTTAAATACCATATCTTCCTTTTAGCTCTACCTATCTTGTGCCACAATCGCACTTCCAACTTACAGCCTTATAACTGACCCCGTGCTAAGCCCTATTACATGGTATCATCTCATTTAAGGTTTATTTTGCCATGATGTGGACATGATTATCATATTTTATAAAGGAAGAAAGGAGAAGCTTAAAAAAGTCAGAAATTCTACTGTTTGGGCAGCCTTACTCCTAAGGATTCAAAAACACTTGAGTCCACTAATGGAATTTCTCCTTGTTAATGGTGATCTCTGGAGCTGAGTCATCAGACCATAACTAGCTAGTACAAGCAAAAAGGCTATCACTATATTCATCTGCAAATTAACATACTTGCTTAGGCAATAATTTCTCAGAAATCATCTGTTGTTATCTCTCACTCCTGCAGGCACCCCAACATTTAACCAATGTTGGAAAGAGACTGTTTACAGGCAGAAGGGGTCCATCTGCAGCTAGCCACAGTCCCCACTGCTCAGGATGGGACTTTTTCATCTAGTCTATGAAGAGCCTGGGCTGGAGTTGGGCAGATGTCTGCAGACAGTGTCTCGGGGGCGCCAGAATACCACCTGACACCATACCCTGCTAAACTGAGATTTTCCTTGTCCAGCTTTGCCGTCCATTTCCAGGAGAGCCATGGCTGTGGGAAATCCCAGAGAATTTACTCTGTGGCTCTACAGACCCTGGGAGTAAGGCAGCTGCCCACTCTTCCTTTCCCTCTTTCTGCATGTGCGATCCAAAGATCTCTGACTGCGGCTCAGAAACTGTGTAGGGGGATGTTCAACAGGAGCCGCCATTTGCCACAGTCTAAATGGCTGTCACTATAGAGAATGTCTGTCTATTTCTGGTGGCATGACAACAGAGTCTGTTAGTTCCTAAATGATAGTTACCCATGTTCTGTCATTGGTGTGATGGTGGCGGCCACGAGACCTTGAAGTTTCTTCTTTGGGGATGCCATCAGCTTCTGGAAAAAAGTTTGGAAAGCATAATATAATTCCTCTCCTTCTTCAAGGAATGTCAATTAATGATAAAACTCCCAGGCAAAGTCCATTTCCAGTTAGAATGGTGAAAATGCTTACAAGAACACAAAGCATGTGAGAAGTACATAAAATTATAGAGCTTAATTCTATGGAGAAAATGATTTTCAAAAAACAGGCAAGAAGAAATCATGTATTTTTCTCCCATTTTATCCCTATAGATAATTGAGTCGATCTGAAATCTCAAAAGGCAGAAATAAACAAAAAAGAGACTTGAGAAAGCCACCAATTCAGGGAGTCAAATGTATGAAGAATTACTATCACTTAGATTGAAATATGGTCAGAACACAAGGGAATTTCTTTCTTTTTTACATGGATTCATTCTTTTAAGCAGGAATCTCATGAAAAACCAGCACTCACAATCTAAAGGCTTCAGTGTGACACCAAAACTGACCAGCTTTGCCCTTAGCACCAGTAAACCTCATAAACTTTATCACTATTTTCTATTTACCTCTACCCTATGGGATCAACTCCCAAGATAGGAAATATCTCTCACTTGCCTACTTTGCCTAGACTGACAGTTCTGCTGGGCATTCATGACCAATCAACAAGTGCTAACTAAGTATGTGGGCGACTTTACAGTTTGGGGTCCCTGATAGCTCTCTGTTGCATTGTAACAAATTCCTTAGGCTTCATGTGACCATCTTTGCTACTGGCCTCTGAACCTCCCAGGTCAGTGTCTGTAACACCAACCCTGCTTATCTCAGACCAGCATCTGAGCAGGGAAGCAGGTTGCTGCTCTACCTGCTGCTTATCTTCACTGCACTTCTAGAAACACCTCATCCCAAGAGACCCAAAGTGAATCTGTCCTCTTGTCCTCTAACTTCTTTCCTTCTTATAGTAGAGGGGTTTCAAGTACAAGCTCTAGAGTTAGATTTCAGAGGTCTGCATCCTGGCTCCACCATTTTACCAATTAGATGAACTGGGGCTCATTACTTAACTGCTCTGTATTTCCATTACCCCTCTGTAACTCACGTAAAGTGATTCACAACAGGGCCAGGCTAAGCTCACTCCCCTCCATGGAGTCCTGCTGATGGCTGTAGGCTATGAGCATGTAGTATTACTCCCTACCCAACACCCTCTTTTCTGTCATCTCAGCCCTCCTGGCCCATCCTTCCCAACACTTGCTACTCTTGACTATTCAGGGACTAAGTCATTTCAATTTTGTTATCTTTCCCCCCCTGTAATCCTCCCTTCCCACCTCCCTGCCCCCTTCCTCATAACTCACCCTTTGTTACCGCTTATCTAGGTTAGTGGGCATACACCCAGGTCAGAGAGGCCCACAGAAGGTTCAAGTGATAAAAGGGCCAAGAGTTAAGTTCAGCACTAAGAGGCTCTTAAGTTGACCACTACTAGGTTGTTCACACATATGTATAGGGCAATAAATGGATATTCTTAAAATGGTCAGAAGCACAGAAGGCCAGTTTCATACCTATCTTTGACTGAAAAAAAAAAAAAAACACAAAAAACAAAAAACACATTACTGCACCTAAGTGCATTTTGATTGCTCTTCCAAAGGTGCAACACACAGAGGTTGGAAGGGTATGGGAGGGGAGCTAACAATCACCATCCTAATCCCTACTCTCTTCTGCCCCTTCTGTCTACTCAGGCTGCCAGATTAGTCTTCAGTGGCAAGGCCATTTCTGATCTTGCGTTGTGGTGCTCAGAAAGTGCCAATAACTTGTCCTTGGCTTCTATAGGATTAAGTTAGGAATTCCCAGGTTCAAGTCTCTGTTCTCTCTCCTGGGCACTTAACCGCAAGGTTGCCCAAGTGCTCCTGACTACTGGGGCCTGCTGGCCTTTCTCCTATGGCTCCCCCAACTGGAATGCGATTGTCTCCTACTTCAGCTCTTCTGGCTGGTGGGCTCTGAAAATTCTCTTTAAGAGCTAGGACACATTCCCTGATCCAGAGGGAACAGAGGAGAAGGAGGAGGGGATCGACTGAACAGCAGCATGGGAATTCTGACAGAGGGAAGGGGAAGATTGTGCACACATGGGGTGAAGAGATGTAGCCCCCAAATTAAGTAGCTATGTAAATGACTAACAAATCAATAGAATTTGAGAGAAAAGAAAATAACTTCATGCTACTTAGAATTGCCATTACTTGCAGACCTCCTTACCCCCCCAAGTACTTGCTTTTTATTAAAAACCTTACTTTGGAGTTATTAGTAGGGTGTTCTGGCTCATCTTTTACCCTGTAAATATAGGGGCAGGAACAATTTTAGAAATCTAGTTTTCCACAGAGAAATTTGCTAAATAAATGAGCAAAGTCTGCTGAATTTGTGAGCTGTGAAGCTCCTACAGGAAGAAATGGGGTAAAAGTTCAACTGCAGAGGAAAATGACCTATATTTCATAAATCTAGTTTTAAACAAACTTGATAATGCTATGCTTTGAATTCTTCATAGGCTGTATCAAAAGCAAATTCTTAGAGTGTTTTCCAGTCTAAGGCATACTGTGAATTCAGAATGTTACTGCCCAAGCACTTACATTTCTAAGCATAGGCAGGGTCACTGGGTGCAGAGAAATCAGGTTGCCTCCGTCAATTTTTCTTCAAAGGGCAAAGTTCAAAAAAAAAAAAAAAAGAGGGTAGTATTTTGGGGGAGGTGGAGGGGGTGGGTGGGAAGCAGTTCTGTACAAGGATATCACTTGAGAGAAATACGTGGAGAAGAAATGAAGAAGTTAAAAACAACATTAAAAAAAAAAACAGCCCTGCAGAAACACAACCCAGTTCCTTTCATAAGGAGAGAATAAATTAAACGTAATCACCCAACTGCTCAATCGCTGACTCTGATCTTCTTAAGGAAGAGGATCCTTAGAACCCGGCTCTGAAGTCTGAAAGAAGTCAGGGGGAAGGGTCCCTCTGTCCGGGTCTGCGGACCCCAGCCGGACTGGATGGTGGCGCCTTCACACTTCCTCCAGCTCCAGCCTCCCGTGTCTCTGCCTCTTCCTTTTCCTCCGGCCTGTTGCTGTCACCCGCCCTGGAGAGCTGGTCTCTCGCCCCCCGCCCCAATCCTTCCAGAGGTCTGTACTTTCCCAGGCGCGGGGTTGAGGGGACTCACCCGGAGCCCAGGGTCCTCTTCGTGGCCTCAGCACCGCTCCTCAGAAGAGTCTTCAGCGCTGCCAGTCGTCCCAACCGCGCCCTGGGCCGAGATCGCCGCGGGGCTCTGCACACGTGCGAGCCACGCCCCGGGAATCTGGGGGTGTGGTTCCGGGCCTCCAGCGCCGCGCGCGCAGGACCCCGAGCCCACACACACAACAGTGGCTCCAGCGCCCCCAAGGCGTCATGCCTATGTGGGGCTCCCTATTCCTAGGTTCGTACCTGAACGTGTGGGGTAAAGAAGTACAACAAGCTCCCCGAAGCTGCAAGCCTGGGATCACACGCTTGCAGGTGCTTCTTCGGAGATCCACATCTCTGCCTTCTCTGTCCCGCCTGCCAAAGGCGCCTTTCCAGCCTGGATATTCCTTCTGTGCGGAGGCGTGACAACAGGTGCTTTGTAACTCTGGCTTTTGAAATTTAGGCGTTTAAAAAGCACGCTGAGAACACCCACCATCCATCCGCGGTTCTGCGCGCTCCAGGCTGGAGTTGCTGCCCCAATTCCACTTGCTTTCGTGCGACAAGGAGATGCTCATTGCAGATGGATTAGTTACTCATGTAGTTGCTTTTCTGGCATATTCTGGAGAACATTGAAAACTTTTTTTGAAAAGCTGAGTTTTTTTTTTTAATTTTTGAAAAATAATATACCAGTTTATTTTTACATCATTTTGTGCATTTTTCTATCTCAGTTGTAGTCCCCTTGGGCTTCCCATCACCAAATCACCCGTGTGCCATCACCAAAGTCCAGTGCATTTCCCTCCCCCCACTGTTTTTGATCCCATTCCCCACTCCACCCCCACAAAAATGCCTCTGGTATATAGCTGTTCATTATTATCATTATTTTCTCGCCTGGTCCGTTATACTCCTATGAGTGAAACCATTCAGTATTTTTCCTTTTCTTTCTGGCTTATTTCACTAAGCAGGATCTGGAAAGGCTGAGTATTTTTAACCAAACTCTTTGGAAGGAATGTCAAGAACTTATTTTCTTATACTATAGACTGTGTTACTAAATCACAGCCATAAATGAGCTTTTACTTGCTGATGTGAATCAACCTCTATTTTCCATCAAAGGCAATGATTTGTTCATTCATTTTATTTCATTCAAAGAAAGCAAATGCCCCAAAGGACTTTCTAGTTTGCAACGTACTTTTTTTTTTTTTTTTTTAAGATTTCTTTATTTGTGCATACAGTACTAGGGTACAGGCCAGAGGGGGAGGGTTGATGAGAGGATTCACCAGAGACAGAGTGGGGAGCAGAACAGCCAACTGATGAAGTACACTGCTGAGGGGAGCAGCCGGTGGGTCAGGAGAGGTCTGCTGTGCTATGTGGGTCACCTCTGGGGCAGGTGAGGATCAAACTCATGCTGAAGTGGCTTTAGCTTCTTAGTGCAGTGCTTTTT